TAACCTACTTTCTGTATGTGTTTATAACCTTGTTTTTCTATACTTGTGGGGACAGAATACTGGGAGCGCCCTAGCTTCGTGAGGACCGGTGTTACTTGTGGGGACAGGAGTCTAGTTCCCACATGGTAGGTAGGTCTTTGAATTTTACAAAAAAGATGAGGTCTAAGTTAGAGCAATTGTCCACTTTAGTTAACTTTAGGATACGTCTTCTGGAAATGAATGTAAGTCACACTCAAAACTAATGTGGCTGATTAAAGGTGACAGATCTATTGGAGGTGACACCCAATGACACACACCTCACACCTCCAGCAACACATCCAGTCATTCTGCCCTGCACCAACAGACAGGCCGACTGTATCCCAGTGCCCTCATCGTCACAGGGTTTGATGTGTTGACATGACCTCTGGCTGAGCCTGTCATGGTCCTCCACCTAAAGATGCCTTTGCCATGACACCTCTGTCAATGAAAGCTGTGTTTGCATGCGAGGTACCAGACACACAAAAGGTCTGCATTCAGAGATTTTAAATAACATCTAATATAACACCCAGTAAGACCATGTAATAGATTTTAATCACTTAGGCCCAAGTATTAACATGGGTTATGGAACATCTCAACTAGAGTAGGAAAAGGAAAAGTGGATACAAACTCTCAGAGTGATGCATTTTTGCTCCTACTTCTAAAAGTATATACATTGTATTTATACAACTTTGTTCTGGAAATGACTCTACTGCAGTGGTGGAAGAAGTACTCAGAACCCTTAAAAGTAGCAGTACCAGAGGGTAAAAATACTCTGACAAGTAAAATTCCTGCATTCAAAATGTTACTTCAGTAAAAGTACAAAAGTATTAGCATCAAAACATACTTAAAGTACTAGAAGTTAAAATATTCATTATGTGGAATGGCATATTTAACATTAATGCATATCTTGTTATTGGCTTATGATTGATGTATTATTGTGTACAAGACATTTAATGTTGCAGCTGGTAAAGGTGGGGCTAGTTTTAACTAGAGCTTATATTCTTATAATGTTAATTACTGCTGGGGAGGAAGTGTATTCTCCACTGGAGATTAAAGCTACATTATGTAAGTTAAGGTAGCACTAGCATGAAACTCTGCTCTACCCAGCACCCCCTCTCCCTTCTCCACTATGCTCTGCTACAATCTGCTATGCTCTACAGATATTTGCTGTGATGAAATTACAAGAAATGAGAATACAACAAAACTTAATAATGAAGCAGAAATATTTGAAAGTCTCTGATTGGTTACAGAGGTCAGTCCTGCTCATTAGAAGCTAATATCGCTAAACTTTAGGCAAACAAACATTTTTGATAGGTCCAATGTTGGATGCAATCATGAGCACATGAACTTTCTGCAAAAACTGTGAGGTTTAGTTTTAAAAGATTTGCCAAAGCCTTTGTGTTTTCACACATCTAGTGTTGAGCCTTACTTTTCTTTTGCCCACATGCTCTTTTAATCCTAAGTTAAATTTTGGTTAATTCAGCATCAGCAACTGTTATTGTGTTTACCTGTACCCAAGTTCTATAATAAAACCCAATTATTCCTTATCACAATTCCTCTTGAGCTGTTATTACTGTACTTCTGTATTTTGTTTAATTCTATTGCAGACTCACTGAGTGGTAGTCGTTACAAAATACAGAAATTTCAAATCATAAAGTGTGTCTTTGTCAGTGGCAACATATGTCGGGCTGATGTGAGGTCTTAATTTAGCAACCTATTCCCATACTTAGCCCAACCATATTGTTTGTCTACATATCGCATTTGACAGGCTTGTTTTTTCTCTCTTCCTTTTTCTTGTTAATAACAACAGGACTTGTATCTGTGGTGCAGTGGGTGACATGCAAGATGTTGGTCCACAGTTATTTCCTGAGCAGCAAATAGGACTGATAAACGGCTGTGTTTTGTTGAGTGTTTGACAGTTTACTTATTTCCCTTTGGCTCAGAGGGCCCCTCATCAGCTAATTTCAACATGGCAGCCTCAGAAGCACACGTCTTCGGGGAAATGTCATTTTTAATTAAATCCCAGGTCCTTTAAGATAAGCAGTAAGGCGTTAATTTCACCCAGGGCGTGATGTTGTCAAGAGCCCAGGAGCATGATGTATGTCTGTCAAGATCATTTATTTTGCTGGGTTTTTTTTTTTTTTTCATTTCTGCATTCCCCATGCACAGAAGTGTCCAGCTAAAAGAAATAAGTATCTGAATGGCCCACTCAGTCCCTGGGTGTTAAGTATGGCTCATTTGGCATCCTGGGAATTTTATTCAGAATGGTAACATGAATGTCATGGACATGTTCTGTGAATTGACCCTGTGTAGAAGAATTTGATCCTGGTGCAGTGGCTCTCATTGTGTATGTACAATGTTCTTCCAAAAGGCAATGGGGAATAAAGAAGGAAAACTGAGAACAAAAAAGAGAAAATGTGCAAACAAGAAGAAGGAAAGTGCATATAAGAAGTTTTTATAAAATATATACAGCATGTATATAAACACATTTTAGATGGAAGTTTCCAGATAGATATATACAAAGGTATATTAACAAGGTATTGCACCGAGGGTTGTCATTCTGTTATACAGTCATAGGTTCAGTGTTCATCAGTGTGATGGCCTTGGGGGAGAAACTGCCCTTGTGTCTGGTTGTTTTGGCATACAGTGACCGGTAGTGCCGTCTAGAGGAGAGGAGTTTAAACAGTTCATGTCCAGGGTGTGAGGGGCCTGCAGAAATCTTCTCTGCCCTCCTTTTGACCCATGATGTGTACAGGTCCTCCATGGAGGGCAGGCTGGCAACAATGATCTTTTCTGCGGTCCTGACTGTTTGTTGGAGTCTGTTTCTGTCCTGTTTGGTTGCTGAGCTAAACCAGGCAGTGATGGATGAGCAGAGAACAGATTTCATGACTTCTCTGTAGGACTGTCAGCAGCTCCTGAGGCAGGTTTACCTTCCTGAGCTGACAGAGGAAGTACATCCTCTGCTGTGCCTTCTTGGTGATTGTGCTGATGTTGGATGTCCATTTCAAGTCCTGGGAGTTTATGGAGCCCTAAAATTTGAAGAACTCTACTGATGAGCATTTCTGAAGCCCACCGTCATCTCCACTGTTTTGAGCATTTTCAGCTCCAGGTTGTTGTGACCGCACCACAGGACCAGCTGTTCAACTTCCTGCCTGTACACCAACTCGTCACCCTCTCAGATGAGACCGATGACCATTGTTTCCAATACTTTACTAGCTCAGCACCAAACAGCAGGCAGACACAACAAACCTACATTTAATAGGTGTGCTGAAATACAACACCAAATGAATGCTGAAATGAATGCAATGGACACTGTTCACTGTGACATTTGCTATAGCCTATTAACTTTATAAGCTGTTAATACTGTGTTTACAGTTTGCTCTGTTGCACTAAGTGGCCAATGAAATCTTTGATAGCCTAGTGATTTAATGCCTAGAAGTCCTGACTGCCTTAAGATTATAAAACAATGTCCAAGAGACATAGCCTAATAGGAATATAGCAGGAAGCTATTGAGGTAAATGTACAGTAGCCTACTATTAAACCTAGATTCAGCGTCCCCACTCAGTCATTCATTTTAGGTAGATATTATCATGCTGATTTGTGTATAGCAGGTCTTTTTTGACATGTTTCTTTTTAATAGGTTATTTGATGATTATAAAAAGGTGTATATGTGAGATGATTTAACAATTTGGATTGTCAGTCTCATACTATCATTCCACTTCTGGTCGCTACTGCGTCACAAAAGCAACATGTCAACCCTGGGGTTTTTTTTGTAATATGGCTGACTGTGGTACCTGTGACTAAAATATACCTTGTACTCTTAATTTTGAATCAAAAATAAATGGTGGTGCCTCCACTTAGTAGGAATTTATAAATTATAAGGATTTTACCCACTAAGAATATTTTAACTCAATGGTTTTAACCAGTTATCACTTTCTTTAAACTGAATACACTCAAAATTAAACACACTCACTGTACGTTAAATGTAAAATATGAATTTAGTTAATTAAAATTTCAAATGAAAAAAAATAATTGTATATACAACTTATGAAATAAAATAGGGCCCACACACACACACACACACACACACACCTTACAATAGAGTCCTTAAAATAAACATAAAACCTCTCTGCAGCTTAGTGTCTGGCTATGGGTTATCCTGGTTGTCCCACCTTAGCACTATTCTGATTGATGAAAGAACAGCCAATTGCAAATAAGGAAGGCCAAGATAGACAGTCTGATGTCCTACAAAGTTAGGTAGTGCAACTGACCAATTTCTGGCATGTGCACAACAAACATACTATGTGCATGTGCACAGGCAAGGAGTCTCTCTGCTACACTTTTAAAGCTTTTAAATGAACTCTTTTAAATGAACTAGGAATTACATTTTATTTCTACAAATACAGTGAAATAGCATGACATAAAATCAACAGTTTTAACAGCTAATTTAATTAGTTTAATATTTATATATTTATTTGGCCTCTGCATTTTTGTAGGCTGGGCTACAATAGTACATACTGTAGCACATTAGATAGTGTACAAAACAAGTAGGGCCTACATCACACTATACCTTAGTGATGATAATAATAATAATAATAATAATAGTAATAGTAATTGCTAAAAAATAACAGTGTGGACTTCAAAAGAGAAAGACATGGGGAACAGGCAGTCCATTTAACCAGGGGTTTCTTAAAATAAGAATTTCTGCAGTATTTTAAAAACCTGATGTTGTTTTGTTGTTGTCGTTGTTGTTAGTAAATGCAAGAGAACTCAGTAGTGAATTAAACACAATCAAGAAAAGAGGAGCGATGGTTGGGACCCTAGACACTTGTTTATGAATAAAGACGTTTCCCTATAAAATAAAATACATAGGTGTATTCTGGCAACTGTAGAGTACGAGCTCGCTTAATACATTCGGAACTTTCCGGTCATTTCCGGCATTGCTTTGTAATGCAACTTCACGTTACCACCATTTTACTGTCGTGCGTATGTGTGCGTGCGCACTGCACAGTGTAGGTGTGGAGACAAAACAGGATCGAAAGCGGACGTACTGAGATATCGCTACAGAAATGGATGGGTAATATTTTATCAGCGATTTTCACCACATCTCATTTAACAGAATGGGTCATTTAAAGGGGAAACTGTAGACGACATTGTTCCTGTATTAACAGGTTTCCATAGCCATGCGCTCCCTTCCTAGGAAGTGTCTCGGGTAGCATATTAGCATAACTTAGCTAACGACCTCTGTTTATTTAATTAATGTTAGCTGCATTGTTAGCTACCTTTGATAAAATCCTCAGCGTGCATGACGCTGTGCTAGAGAGATGTGTTGATACGATATAGTTCCACGATTCATCCGTTCATTGTAGAGTATATTCCAGAAATGTGCTAACGAAGCGGCTACTGAAGGTTAGCAAAGCGCTATGCTAACGTTAACTAATGTACAGTACCGCTGTTCCTTTGCGTTGTAGCCGATTTATGTTCAGCTCACCGAGCGACTTCACTATAGTTAGCTATTCCCAGTTTTCTGATAGCCAATAAATGTGTTTGTTTATATCAACAAACTGCAGTTTACTGCATGCACGGGTCTTATTTAATTGCTCAAGAAAATAACATATACCGCAACACATTGTCAGTCTAATAATGACAAACACTTATTCTGTAGATACTTTAGTGCAAAGAGATGCGGTTTTGTTTTTTGTTTTTTTGCTTAGTTGGTAATTTCAGTTTGTTTACCTCTAAATGCACCGCACAAAACTGGCAATGTGTTTGGGTATGGACGTGCGAAATGCATATATACTAAAACATGGCATCTAAATGTTTTATCTAAATGTGCAGATAGGGTTGGGTAGGGTAGTAGTATGAGATTTTCATGGTACAATAACTGCCTCACAAATATCATGGTGACACTGTATGAGGTATTACACAGTTACAATGCTAATGCAGCAAACCTCTGGCGTTTTTACCCTCCTTTACAGCAGCTTTTTTGATATAAGCCCTTTTACAGATAATGCACCACTTCTCCCAGAAAGTTGGTGCAATCACAACATCTTTGCTATTATTGTGTTTATTTCTTTTATTTGCATTGGGACAACACAAAAAAAAACAAACAGAAAAAACCCAAATCAGATATATTCCACACAGAACTCCAAAAATGGACTGGACAGAATTATCGACACCCTCAACTTACTATTTGGTAGCACACTTGTTGGACAAAATAATGGAAATCAGTTGTCTCCTTTAACCATCAGTGAGTTTCTTACAGTTCTCTACTGGAATTTTGGACCACTCTTCTTTTGCCAACTGCTCCAGGTCTCTCAGATTTGAAGGGTTCCGTCTCCCAGCTGCTGTTCTGAGATCTCTTCTCAGGTGCTCTATGGGATTTAGACCTGGACTCATTGCTGGCCACATCACAAGTCTCCTGCTCATTGTCTGAAACCATTTCTGGTGCTTTTTAAAGTCTGCTTTGGGTCATTGTCCTGCTGTAAGACCCATGGCCACTGACAGAGACCCAACTTTCTGACACTGGGCCCTACATTTTGCCCCAGATTTCATTGGTGGTCTTCCGATTTCATAACACCATACACAAGGCTAAGCCATCCAGTACCTGAAGCAGTAAAGCAACCCCAGAACATCAGTGAACCTCCACCATGTTTGACTTTAGGGACCGTGTTCTTTTCTTTGAAGGCCTCATGTTGTTTTCTGAAAACAATAGAATGATGTGCTCGACCAAAAAGCTTTGTTTCAGGCTCATCTGTCCACAGGACATTCTCCCAGAAGGATTGTGGCTTCCTCAGGCAAACTCCAATCTGGTTTTTTATGTTTCTGTGTCAGCAGTGGGGCCCCCTGGGGCTCTTACCATAGTGTCCCTTGTCATTCAGATGGCGACAGATAGTGCGAGCTGACACTGTTGCACCCTATGCCAGCAGATCAGCTACAGCGCCACAGGCTGTAAACTTCTTGACAGTGTTGTGCACAGTGGACACAGGAACAGCCAGATCTCTGGAGATGGACTTGTAGCCTTGAGACTGTCCAGGCTTTTCCACTATTGTGGTTCTTAAATCCTCAGACAATTCTTTGCTCTTTTTTTCTTTTCTCCATGCTCAGTGTGGTCCACACTACACAAAGGTTGAGTCAACGCTTCTCCATTTTAACTGGTTCAAGTGTGATTTCTATGTTGCCAGCACCTGCTGCTTGCTACAGGTGAGTTTCATTAAATACAAATTAAAAGAGCACCACATGCTTGAAATAAAACTATTTGTGATGATTCTTAAAAGGGGTGAAATTTCTCTAGTCCATTTTTGGATTTTTGTGTGGAATATATCGGATTCATGAGAATATCAAAGAATTTGTGTGCTACCTGACAGAAATGCTGGGGTGCCAGTATTTTTGGCCATGACTCTAACTAAAGCATGTTAGTTCAGTGTTTCCCATACATCACTTGTGCATTTAGTCCCTCTGTGTCACACTCGGTTTCTCTCTCATACACACAAACACATGACAACCATGATGACGGACTGTCTGTTAACAGCTCCTACTCTCTCTCCATGTTAGTTTTTTTTACCACAACGCTGTCAGTCATGGAGATCCAACTCTTCTGATATGTTATTAGCAAGAAAGTAAAGCTATCTATGCTAACGTTAAAATGCATCATGCTGTATATAGCATGGATGTATATGGACTGCTCTGCAGGTGGATAAACTAATGCTAATTCATAAACTGTGGTGCTGAATATTTGCCCTGAGGGGGAAGTTCAGGGAGATATTGAAAAACACGTGGGAAAGCTGATCAGTCCAATCAGTTTGATTAGTGATCCAGTTGATTCTTTTCAAATATTTACTTGTTTTAACCAAGAGAGGATCAGGAAGAGAAAGTTGTAGAGAGATGCAGGATGAGGGCAGCAGCCAGCATGCTGCTGCTGTGGAAGGGAAAGTTCAGAAGGGACAGGTAAGATGAACAGCACTGATATATTTTACAGAAAAAAACCCAAAACAAAAAACACCACAATTAAAATGTAAGTCTGTGTAAAACACTATAGTTAGCATATTTTTTCAGGTGAGAAAGTAACCACTTATATTGTGACTATGTGGTCATTCTGTCCAAGTAATGCCAATTTAAAATTTGTTCTGGCGTTTTCAGAGATGTGAGTACTCATTTCTGACAAAGCTAGCACTATTAGCAGGTAGCTACATGTTCTTCAGACCACAGTGGCCTGTCGGCAAGCTGCCTATTTGAAACTTGCTGTAGTGTTTTTGGAGCTGTGAGGACCCACTAGTAGACCAAGCTAACTCTCCTTAGCAGGCAGGTATATCTCGTTCAGAGCCGAGTCAGCAAGGATGCTGGTGTTCCAGTTGCACATTGAGAATACTGTGCCCTCCCAAAGTTTGGACTTATAAGCTTAGCATAATCACCTGCTACGATTGTGAACAAGCTGTGCAACAGGACATGGATTACAGCATACACGCAGCAGTACATAGTAGGCATCGCCAGAGCCCAGCCACAACCAGGAAGAAGAGAAAAAGAGAGTGCAAGAAACCGGACAAGAGTAAATATCGGACTGGCTTTTACTCTCTCGTGGAGATTAGTAGTTTCTTCCAGATGTAAGAGGTCCTCTTCCTCCGTCCTGGAATAAATCAGTTCATCTCAAGCCAGAAAGTTTGGTTGGTCTTTGTCAGTGTCACACCAAATAAGCCTTTGAAGTGCAGCCTAAGAAACCCATCTCAGCTAGCTTGTAATAAATTAAACTGCCCACCATATATTATGTGCCATATAAACCAGTATTGTCGCCATCGTTTCATTCCATTACACACATCCACATTAAAATGCTTAGCAGACTATCTGAAAATGCAAGCATTATTTCAGTAAAACAAACAAAAAAACCCTGCCATTCTAAGTGTTTACCTTTGATGTCACAATAAATAAAACTATCCAAAGTCTTACTTGTATAAAATCTTGTAATATTATTTTACCGTTCTTTGGCCTCTGATGTTTTATTTCTGGCTCAATAACAGCTTCAACTTGTAAACAAATGCACATATACCACTGACCATGAGGAGGGAGGAAAACGCAACTAGTATTTATGACAGTTGGGTACAACTTAGCAACTGTAGGGGAAGTCAAACTGCCAAGTTGCATATCGTTGCTTTAAGTAAAAGTGCTAATATTACACTGTAAAAATACTCTGTTAGAAAAAGGTCCTCCATTTAAAATGTTACATGGAATAATGTATCGTCACAAGTATTAAAATAGAAGTGGTCAATGCAGAAAAATGTTCCCTGTGACTGTTGTCATATATCTTTCCATTGATATTACTCATTCATTGATGTAAAGCAGGATTTTACTGTTGTAGTTAGTTGACGTTGAGCTCTTGAACCATTTTGTGCATTAATTATGGATTCATGTGCTGGTTATTTTCTTCATTAACTGATTGATTGGTTTGTAAAGATTATGAAAACAGTGAGAAATGAAGTCACTCTAAACAATTATCAGAATAGTTGCTTTAGTTGTGTGACAGTACAACCAGAACGATCCTGTCTGTACTGTACCTTAACTCACACACACCCATTTTTGTCAGCCTGCTGGAGCAGGGAAAGTTATGTGTCAGAGTTTGCTTTGGAAAAAAAAAAAGATGCTTCAAGATATAAAATAGTTATCCACCAGGATAGGCTTGGTGATAGCACATTAACGAGTTACTGTTTTATTCAAATTGACCAAGTGCAAATTATTTCTCTTTCAGAATCAGTGATGTTGCAGTTGGAGTGAAGGTAAGTCTTCACCTCTGGTTTTTGCTTAGTGTTCAATGCACAAAATATATGAGTCTGACTTGGACATAGTTTTTTTTTTTTCTCCTCTACTGTATTTGTTGCTCTGGGATGCTGTTTGCCCACCAGCTTATGTTCTAAACACAGTTACCGTTTAACTTCAGACAAGTTGATTCAGCTCTAATTTCTAGCACATTTAGAAAACCGTTGTTGATTTTACTTCTTACTATCATTGTATAATTTTGTAACACAACCCTCCTTTCTGAGTTAATACCATTTTTGGTTTGTTAGTTATTTGCCCTGATGGTTGCAGTGGATTGATTATAGATGATACCGAGCAGAAATAAGAGCGGTATGGAGATCTGGCTGTGCCTGAGGTTATGGCTGTATTCTAAACCCTTTGTAACATAAACATCCATCAAATCTTTTTCTACATTGTCCCCCCATGTTAACACCAGGTTTATTTATTTATTTATTATTGCTTTGAGCTTTCATAGCATTAGACTGGCATTAATGAAATGGCTTGTGTCCCTGTTGATCACCGAATCACTTGTGCAAGTGTATTGTTGCTCTGGCTGCTTAACCAGATTTGAGTGCCGACTGCATTTTTGTTTGCACAAAACAAAGCTTAAATCCTCCCTCCAGGGGAAACGGAGCACTCATAAAATACTAATTCCTAAATTTCTATTTTATAAATATTTCAATGTCAGAGATAAAACAGAGAATGTTGCCAGTTGTTGGGAGAGAAATCATACATAGGGGTCTTATAGCTCTTGCTCTCTGTGCTCACATTTTGATGTAAGTCAGACAACTTTATTACCCTTTCAATTTATTTGTGTCATGTTGCTGTAGCAAGGCCCACAACATCTAGTTTATCGTAACAATAAAGAATGTTAGTGACAGAAGAACAATTGGTTCAAAAGCAGTCAGACAGAAACAAGGAGGGGGCATATGAAGCTATTATAAAGTTGTGTGTCTAATGGGTCCCTAGCCAGGTTCCTTGTCATCCCATCAGTCAGTATTTAAGAGCAAAGGGTGCCCGTCAGCTTCAGCAAGCCTTCTGGGACATAGAATTGCTTAGGATGAAATGACATCTTGGCATCTTAAATTCAGCAACATTAAAACCACACCAGACGAGGAGGAGCCTAACCACTCTTCAGCTGTTTTATGTCCCTTTGGGCCTACATCATTCCTCTACCCTCTTTTTTCCCTTTCAAATATCTTCATCTTTTATTGCTGTCTCTGAGAGTGTATGGAAGATGGAAATGGTTTAATCCCTTATTTCACAACTGTGCCTTGACCCTTGTGTCTGTTTTTTTCCCCTCAGAGAGGATCTGACGAGCTGAGTATGTACAACAGTCCCATCTCTGACATGAGCAGTATCAGTGGTGAGTTCGTTCCAACCACCCCTGAATAGGGAGGGGATTGACATAATTTGCATGAAGCCATTTGATCGGTAGTGACAGACGGCATCAAAGGGAATCGAAGGGTTAATTGGTGTTTGAAAAGTGAAACAGGCTGTGTGAGCTGAACTGTTCTCTCATGGGAGGTTTTTAGTGTGTCAAACATATCATGCTCCTCAGTAGGCTGGCATCCACACGCCACAGCATGCGACTGGAACAGACATAGCAGACTACTGCATATAAATGCATACATGCTGTTTAGATGATATAAGAAGCATCTCAAAGAAAACTGCAGAATTAATTAAGGAAGAGAAGACATACAGGGTTTGGCTTTTAAACACACCACCAACAAAATAAGATGAATGTCAAAGGCATACACAAGGGTTTTGGGAGATTGTCTCTTTAATCAAAGTCCCAGTCTACTATTGCTGCACAGTGCCCCATCCAAGCTAATGTCTCCTCTGGGATCTGTCTAATAAGGAGAGGCAAAGACTCATTGTTACCTTTGTGTTAGGTTGTTGTTGTTTATTTTTCTATTTTGTTTGTTTGTTGTTGTTTTTTTTTAAGTACCTAAGCTGTATATATTAAGGGTGTACAATATATATTAGGGATGGGCAATGATTTTTGAATATGTAAGTAGTCATTAAACTGAAAAAAATTGAATATTTCATCCAACTATCATTTTGTCTTTAAAAACCAGCACCTGGAAATAAGGCGCTAACGAGGCAAGTATATCATTTTACTACAGTGCCAAATACAAACAGCAGAAACATGTAGAGACTACAGCCATCAAAGAGTTCTGTGTGGAACTTCTTCAAGAATATAAATGAAAATGAGGTGCAGTGCAAACTCTGTCAGGTTAAGTTATCATATAATAAATCAACAACTATGCCCAGCTATTTGAAGGCGAGGCATCCAGCAGAAAGTGGGGCGCGTTCTGCAACAGTCACTGGCTAGCTTTGTCACCTGAAGAAGGAAGTCTGATGATCGACATACAGAGTCCTCATCACAAAGATGATAGCAAAGGACATGCTACCATTAGCTTTATCGAGGGCGGCGTTTTTCAAAGTTTGATGCCATTTGTTCAGCCAGAGTATACGATCCCATCAAGAAAAACGGGCACAACACGACTGGATAGACTGTGTTATGGTAATCCATGTGAGCTGTGCAGTTGTTTGTCAAGTACTGAAAAGGTGTCTGACCATGGACGCATGGGCAGCACTTACAACTGAATCATATGTGGCAGTCACCTGCCATTTTATAAGCAAATGGAAACTACAGAGTGTTGTTCTTCAGACTAAAGCAATGCTGGAGCGGTATACCGCTGCAAACCTGGCGAATGTGCTTTTGACTGCTGCGGAACACTGGGGACTTAAAGGTAAAGTCACACTGTGCACATGTGACAGTGCCAGCAATATGGTGCTATATTGTTTGTGTGTGGGTGGGGGGGTCTTTGAATAATTGTCAAATACCCATCCCTAATATATATTACATATATCTTATCTGCTGTTTTAATGATGTGCCAGCTGACATTATCAAGTATGTCACTTATTTTACCAAAATCAATTAAAACACACCTTGAGAGTCCACACATTCACCACATCATGTAGCCTAACAGGATAGACTACTATGCATGCACATTGAGGGTCCACGGAGAGTGTATATGATCACTGCACCGCAAGTAAGGCTAGCATAGCTGCCTAAAAATGTATTAATGAAGTTGCAACTGAACAAACAATGACAGGAGACAAATTACATACACCACCAGCTTTGCAGTCTGTGCCATTAAATTTAATTGCTAGACATGGATCATCCACACTCACATGGAGGTGATTTGACAAGACGGATGTTGCTCAAGATGACAATCTGCAAACTAAATCAGTTGCCGTTAAAGATAACTTGAAGTTTGTTCACCATCTGCAAACTAACCATTGCACTGAATATGAAAAGCTGTGGGAGACAGCTGTCCATAACATGACTAAACCATCCAAGGTACCAGCACAAAAACACACTGCGCAAAATTTAGCAGAATCATTCAGCAAAAGTGAATAGTGGTCAGTGTTTATGTAAGTTGATGCTTCAGTTTTGAATAAATAAATAAACCTGTTTTCCTTCAAATGTTGTTTCCATTAGTAGTAATTAATAAATTATTGTCTGTGTTCGTACTGGTTTCTTCCGTTAAAGGGAGTTTTCCATCCCACAAGTGCTGCTCAAGGGTGATTTGTTAGGTTTTTCCTCTGTTATAATAATAATAGTAATGATAATAATAATAATAAGATTACTAGTAAATTGTCCTTTGTAAAGTGTCCTGAGATGACTTTTGTTGTGGTTTGGCGTTATACAAATAAAACTGAATTGAACAAAATTTGAGAATATATATAACCAGAAGAAGAAGGCCGTAGTGATAGATGTAGCAATCCCAAGCAATAGCAAAATCAGGAAGAAGGAACACGAGAAGCTTGAGAAATGCCAAGGGCTGAAAGAAGAGCTAGAAAAGATGTGGAAGGTGAAGGCACAAATAGTCCCAGTGGTAATAGGAACATTGGGGGCTGTGACCCCCAAACTGGGAGAGTGGCTCCAACAGATCCCAGGAACAACATCTGAGATCTATAACTTTTTGTAAATATTTATTTGCCATTGAAAAGAGTTCCCAACAAATAACACTATTTCCTCCTGTTTGGTTATGATTGCTAAAACCATAGTCACCAGGTTTTTTTTAGGAAATAATTCTATCTTGTCACTTGGTTTTAAATAATCACGCCTTTTAGACGAACCAGTGGAGTGAGAACCACAAGATAATGAAGGAACGCAACTGTGTGTTAATGTCTGGTTCGGACTACACAATTTTTTTTTTTTGTCTAATAAGTAGGTCACTATGCCAAATTCATCAATTCTTATCATGACTATGGGTTGTGTAGCCATCAGAGAGAACTTCAGCTAAAAATAACTTTAAGCCATTAGTAAAACTAGCTAGTTGGCTGAACCTGGCATTAGTCTGTCTCCTGATACTTTTGAAAGAAAACCCATTGTTGATTTAGTTTTTTGTGCAGCATATTTAGAGATGGACGAAAACACATCATTGGTGTTGGTCTTTTCATTGGCTTTGTTGACAAACTAAAATGTAGTAAGTTTTTATTTTGGTGATCATTGTAGTGCTCAGCACAGTTAATCAATGTTTATGCTAAAATTTTAGATGGGGCATCAAATGGCAGCGACAATAAAAAGCCCAGGGTGGAGGAGGCCCCACCATCTCGTGTACTTCACATCAGAAAACTACCTAATGAGGCCTCAGACACTGAAGTCATTGCTCTTGGCTTGCCTTTTGGAAAAGTCACCAATATCCTCACACTAAAGGGGAAGAACCAGGTACGTAGAGGAAATGGTTGGATAAGTCGCATTTGTAGACTTTTTTGCAAAACAGTTGATAAGAGCAGTTTATAAAGGATGAGTGAGGGTGGAGTGATGTAAGGGCTGGACCATGCTACCCACGTCAATTTGCACATAAGTCTATCTGCGCATGTGTGTGTACTGTCTGCAACAACACTTGTGCAAGCCATGCTCTCATCTGTTTGGAGGTGTCCTCTGACACTAGTGAACCAGTCTACAGCAAGCACACAGGAAGGCTGCTGTAGAAGGTGAAAACAGGAGAAGCTGAATGTTGCAAGTCTTTGTTAAAACCTTTCACCGACGTGAAAGAACTAGCAGTGACGAAGACTGACTTTTGTGTTGCCTCACGTTGGCTTTGGGTCAGTCAGGTTGAAAAAGTGGCACTTGAACACAGAAGAAAGGAGGTTGTGGAGGAGAAAAACAACTAAATGGTGAAATCACATATACTATAATGACAGGCCGAATGGCGCTTTCCTGAAACATTCTGTTCTCATGCATTTATTTGCTAAACTAAAGTGGTTTCTCTCTGAATGATGAGGCTTAACGGGCTGACACAGGTTCAACCTGTCAGATCAGCTAAAAAAGCCGCCAACTAGTGCCGGTGGTGTGGGACACACCCCCGACAGACGCTCACCAACGGCACCCGAAGGCCGACTGTCAGCTTGTTGTTTCTCTGACCTTACAGTCAACATGGTACACCATGTGTGTTGGAACCAGCCGCAGTTATGTAATTGGAGAAGACTGTAAACGTGTGTTTGCTGGCACAAGAAGCTTGCAGAGAGCTTAAACTGCAAACTTGTTACAAGTCTTACAAAGTTTTCCCCTGAAGGACAGTGGTAAAGCTTTGTCAGCTGTACCACGTGTACAATTTTGCTGTCTAGATGTGCATCTGAACCATGCCCACAGCTCTCTACAAAAACTGGTCCAAAGCCTATTGTCTGCCTGCTGAGCGGGCACTGTAAATCATACTTGGCATTTGTCCCCTAGAGTCCTGCCAAATACAGCTACCTTGTTCTCTTCACAGTATCAATGCCAGTGTGTCAGGTGGTCTTAATAGTTTGGCAGCTGCCTCAGCTCAGTGTTCAGACAACTACCTTGCACGTTGTGAATGCTAAGCATTATCTGTCGCCAGCATCTAGGTATTACAGATTAAGTGTTTATTTTTATGTTACTTAGCAAAATATGTCAGATTATTTAACAGATTTCAAGATTAAGGTTTTTTTTAAGACTGTTCTCTAGTAGTCAAGTCATTAGTCGAGAGCCACATAAAGGTGAGATTTGTACTTTATTAGAAGTGTTTTTAAACATTGTGATCTGCTTTTACAAGTGAAAAGACGGTTGCTACCATGTGGCTGGTTTTGCATAATGTTACACCATTACACTGTTACTCTGACATTTGGATTCCAGACAGCCTAGGCCATATATATATATATAAAGAATAAGAGCATAGTCGCACTGAAGAGCTGACTAACAGTCGACTGACAAAATCCTTAGTCGGGTACAGCCCTAGTTATTTTAGAAATGACCTCTTAAGTACTTCTTGAGTTTTGTTTTCTTTACTTCTAGGCATTCTTGGAGATGGGGACAGAGGAGGCAGCCATTACTATGGTTAACTACTACGCCACAGTAAATCCTCATATCCGCAACGTCCCTGTCATTATTCAGTACTCCAATCACAAAGAACTCAAAACTGATGCTGGTAATCAGGTGGGACTGCACAAATCTATCATTGTTTTCTTTAAGAAATTGAATAGTTGTTTAGTCAGTATCAAAGTTGAGAAATGAACATTTCCCAGAGCTAAAATTGCTACCTACATGTTCTGTGCTCTGAAAGTGGCTCCTAACACTAGCACCGTTTGCTCCAGAATCTATCTGTACTGTTCCCGGTGTTTTATTCAGGACCTGCATTGTTAAGATGCAGGCAGGTGTTTCATCACCTGAAGGAGATATTACATCACACATATGTACACACACACATATATGTGGACCACAGCATGAATTAATTTGAACACTTTCATACAAAACAGCCTACAGTACATGACTACTCCTACTTGTGCCTCCACTACTACTTTTGTGCTACCACTCTTGTTCTCCATTGTAAAAAAAAAAAAAAAAAAGATTAACTGCTTGTGTTTGGTCACAGCGGACCCAGGCGGTGCTGCAGGCAGTATCAGCAGTACAGGCCAGTGGGTCACCAAGTTCAGATGTACAGGAGGTTCTGGCCGCAGCCTCCAGTCCGGTGCTGCGGATCATCATCGATAACATGTTCTACCCTGTAACGCTGGATGTACTGCAACAGGTAAGCAACACCTGTGACCTCGCACAGAAGAAAACTGTTAGAGATTGTTCACTGTTGGTAGCTGAATGTTAGTTTGTATTTTCTGTTGTTGGCAGATTTTCTCCAAGTTTGGCACAGTCATGAAGATAATCACATTCACCAAGAACAATCAGTTCCAGGCTCTCCTGCAGTTTAGTGATCCTGTCAATGCACAGCATGCCAAACTGGTGAGAGGTTGTTTACTTTCAGCTCCCACTGGTCATGTTGCACAGCGTTTTTACCAGTCACCTACAGTCTGGTTACCTGTTTGTTAGTACCTTACAAATTTAAGAGTTGAATACTTGAAGTTTAAGTATGATGTCATGCCCCACCACCCCACCCCCCACTTCCAGGCACTAGATGGCCAGAATATCTACAACTCTTGCTGCACACTGCGTATCGACTTTTCCAAGCTGGTAAACCTAAATGTTAAGTACAACAACGATAAGAGTCGTGACTACACACGACCTGAGCTGCCTGCTGGCGATGGCCAGCCCAGCCTTGACCATGCGGTGGCTGCTGCCTTCAGCAAAGACTCCAACTCCCTCCTCGGTAAGATCCCAGGTAGATCACACTTTTATATTTCCTCTTTTAATCCTGCTTTTTTTTAACCTACTGGCTAAATGCTTAACTTGTGATCATTGTCAGCTAGTTTTTAATTATAAAGCCATTGCATTAGATTTGTACGGTATTAATTTATTCTTAAAATATAGTTTGATCAGATTTTGTGTAGCTTTGTTTTTATTTTTTATTTAAATTGGATATGTACTGAGTGATGGCTGCTGCTGGATTTCAGTCCTCAATAGGTAGTAACAATCATTTTGCATCCTTGCTCAGTTCTGTAATGCTGGGGTTTAGTGGAAGTGCTACTCTCCAATCCATGGTTGTTTCGTCTGTTTCCAACCAGGAGCCCTGAACCCCCTGAGTGCAGCAGCTGCTGCTGCTGCTGCTGCAGGGAGGGTGGCCCTAGCTGGACAGGCAGGGTCCAGCGGGGTCCTGCTGGTCAGCAACCTCAACGAGGAGGTCAGTAGCATAGATACAAACACAACACTGAAAGGCACCATCTACAGCTTAAACTCGACCACCCCTACCCACCCGCATCTTAATATCTTTGTTTTTTCCCCTCCTTGTGTTACCACTTCCATTTTCATTGTCTTGTCCCATTCACAATTAAAAAGCTCTGTGGTGGGATTTTTTTGTGCACATTTGGCCTGGGAATTCATTTAAACCACTGAATTTGGTGTATTGACATGAAACACTTGTGCGGTCTTGGACAAATCCAAGTTTAGTTTTAAGTTTTTAAGTCTTAGAAAATTCGAAAGTAGAGAGTGACATTCTTCTGGTCAGGATGAGATGGTGGTTTTCTGCACCCATAGATTCATTTTATTCAAAATATTTTTTGTATTCAGGCAAGTAATATCTATCCATGTCCTTAGAACATCCTCCTGTCATTTTTGAACAGGACTTTTTGATCCTAGAAGAGCTGTAAATTTGAGGGGTAATTACTGAACTGCTGTGGGGCACACAACCAGAATCTTTTAGACTCCAAGCCTTTTTAAAAGAGATGAACTGGATGCCTTGATATTCTAGCTGGTATTGATATGAGGCACGATTTTTTTGTCTAACCTTTTCTTTGCTGTATTTTCTAGTGTCCTTTACGCACCCAGGTCCTTGCTGTGCTTTTTTTTTTACATTTGTTCAAGACTTATTATGTCCCCGTAAGAGAGAGGGGGGGTTTCTTTTTTTTTTTTTTTTTTTTTTTTTTTTTTTTACACACCAAAATTTCCTCCTTTGATGCTCTGCCCTTCCCTTCTCTTGTCTAACTGTATTCTAAGTCGCCTAACTGTCTCTCTTCTGCTTTTCTCTCTAAGCTCTCTTCAGCTCACCAAAGCTCATATGAAATCACTCTGTGGTCTCCTAACCTGTCTCAGATCTGGGAACAAATAGCTGCCTCTGTGAAATGCTCGCTTGTTGTCCTTTCTTCCCGTTCTTTTGCTTTTTCTGAAACTGTCACTTAAATAGCATCTGATTTGTCTCACCTGATCTCTCTCTTTCCTCATCAGTTTGTTCCCTCATTCTGGAGCCTTTGACAGTATCTAAACCATTCAAACTGAGCCACTGATGTTAAGATACTGTGCTTAAGCTTTCTTTTAGCTTCTTGGACTTGTGTGAATGCCACTTTTACTGAAGTGGCCTTCATATCAACTCTTGCATGTTAAATTGTACTGCATGCTCTCTTAACTAATTTTCCCCCCTCAGCTTCTCATACTGATACAGTACCATTTTCCCTCGCTGAAAGACTGTAGAACTTCAGACCTTTCTGACCTGCTGCATGTTGTTTTTATTACATGATTTTGGTTTTATATTGCTGATTTTATTATGATTTTGACAAGAATGTACCTTTACCCCGTGCTTGTCCAGGGTGAAATACATTTTGGCACAAGTTATTTGCTGTATTTTGACTAAAGAAAACATTGATCCAAGCCATTATCTCTGACCAAACTACCTGCATTATTCCAGTGTACTGACCTATATTTTATTTTTTGTCCCTCCCCTCCCCCCACTTTATTTTCCCCCCAATTTGCATTGCCTCCTGATTCATCCCCTTACCCCGCCTCCACCACCCTCCCACCCCCTTCTACACCCAACTTCCTTTACCCTCCATTCATCCTACTTCCCCTCCATGTGCTGGTGGGGAATTTTAACTCCACAAATCACCCAATTTTCCTCCACCTCCTCCCTCCGCATTAACCCTCCCCTCTCCCACCCAAAACCCCTCCATGACTCCTCTTCTGCCACCTGCTCCTCTCCTTCATGACCCACTACCTCCATCACTCTCCGGGGGGAAACAAAAACCACCATTCCTCCTACCTACCTTCGTTCTGGATCGATCTGTCCATCTCTACCTCCGCTCCGCTCCGACTCTTCTACCTCTCTACCTGTCTCACGCTGCTTGTTGCTCTTCTCTCCCTCTAAAGATGGTTACGCCCCAAAGTCTGTTTACCCTCTTCGGTATGTTATCGTTGGCTCTCTCTCTTTCTCTCTTTGAGCTCTCTCTCTCTCTTTCTCCTCCTACCTTCAGTTTTTGTTATATTTCCATACTATCTGACACATTTGTCATTATTATTGTTATACGAGCTTATGTATATCTGTTTTCACACAGTAGCTTTTTTGGTAATTTGTAATACATTTTTGCCCCGTTTATCGGTTTGGGTTAACATGTATTATTTTGCCCTAAATTCCACCATGTTGTTATCTGTTAATGCATGGTTGAGTCTTTATTTTTGCACGTATATGTTTTTAGCCACTTGACACAGCTTGATATCTTACCTGTTTAGAGGGTATCTCTTCTCTCTTTACCTTTACTTTTCTACTCATCTCTCACTCTGAATTTCTTGTGTACTCTATTCTCTCTTCTTGGCTTCTTGTCTGTAAATATCCTTGTCTCCAGTGCTGTTTTTTTTATTTGCCTAACTGTCTGCTTTCTCTCCACCTCACTTCTTCTCCTCTTGCCTGCGGCTCTAATGCAGGTGTATATGGCGATGTCCAGAGGGTAAAAATTCTTTACAATAAGAAGGACAGCGCTCTCATTCAGATGTCAGATGCCAACCAGGCCCAGCTAGGTAAGCAGACATCACACACAGCCATTTTTCAGGTCTAATTTACCTCTGTGATGCAGTCAACTTGGTATTGGAGATACTTCTATTGCCCCAATCTAAACAAGCAGCCCACCATTAAAATATCACACCATATTGTTTACAAGCTCCGTCTCACAAGTAATAGAGGGCCAGGTTTAGAAGTATAAAGTTGATAAGATGGAATATTGATATGATGTTATGGATTTATTTTGCAATGTTAGAACAGTGAATTATTATCCTAGATGTGACCTAAGGCTCAAAAATGAGGTGTATATATGTTCTAGTATTTCTATGCAGAAGAAACTCCGTTTATAAACATCTCACAAACTCTCACTTCTGAGGTTTTTTTTTCCCTAACAAAAAGGATTTCTTTGAATGGGCATAAATCCAGGCAGTTGCACGTTCATGTGAGCTTGCCTGACATCCACCGGTGCCATTGTAAAAACAGAATTTTTCAACTGTGCACGGTTTTGTGGATATATTTTACCTCCTGCTGCTGCACTGTGACCAGAGGATGTGGAGAAAAATACAGAGCCTGAGGTTACTGCATGTCCGGGAATGTTCCTATACAGGGACTCGCTGTTTTACCTGACCGGGTCTAACCTACAAGCAGCCGACTTGTGAAACTCGAGGGAACCCTGCACTACAGTGGTTTCAGCAGAGATGACTCTCAGTTCTGCCTTGTTGAACTACAAAAACTTTATTCACTCATGTACAGTGGTGTTACAGATAGGGGTGTAAATCAAGTTTCCTGATAATACAATCTTAAATCCATTCTCTTAGCCAGCGAACCAATGTTTGCTGGTACGTAAATGTATGCCACGATGTGATTTTGATTTGATGGCCTGCAATTAATATCAAACAATTTTACCCTATGTACCGCTTTGACACAGTTAATTACATTTTTATTAATTCACAAAAGCAACCAAAATATAATATTGGATTTTAATATACATTTTGCATCACCTTGTTGAAAATGAAGTTACTGGAATAGTCAAACTGAAATTTCCATCTGGTTAATTTACTCAAACAGAAAATGTATTATATCACAGTGCATATTGATGGTGATGTACATATTATGTACTCCTAATCTGAATTTGATCTAACTCCCAGAGTCATTGGCAGGTCACAGACCCAAACATAGACTAGCACTAGACAACTCTGCATTATAATCTATTTGTGTTATCCATCCTAAATAGTCACAGTTACCATATGGGTACAAGGAGTTGCTTGATTTATAAGTACATGAAGTATTGCTTTATGAAGTATCACGTAGTGTAACCAGTTAAGTGAATGTGTACAAAAATTTTCACCTTAACGCCAAAAAGCATTTACTAACATTGAGGTCTGTGTGCTGCTGAAAGCATTAAGGGTCTATGAACACCACCACTGTCTGTTTAGGTGGTGTCTTTTCATAACTCCTGAGTCTGATGTAAAAATAAGCACTGTTACTGATTTGGATATTACTCTGTTTTTTACTGTGTTCAGTTAGAACACCCAGTGAATGACACACAATAGACTGTAACATCATCATAACTGACCTTTCTTGTCTTTGTCATGGCCGAAGCAATGAGCCACCTGAATGGCCAAAAGATGTACGGGAAGATCATCCGGGTGACGCTGTCCAAGCACCAGACAGTGGCGCTGCCTCGCGATGGCCTGGATGACCAGGGCCTGACCAAGGACTATGCCAACTCCCCTCTTCATCGCTTCAAGAAACCAGGATCCAAGAATTTCCAGAACATCTTCCCACCCTCTGCTACCCTCCACCTCTCCAACATCCCGTAAGTACCAGGCCAGCCAGTTCAGTCTGTTCTGTTAGATGCTTAAGAAGGACGTAACCCAAATATTGTTTGTAACATCCAGGGTTTTTAATGAAAGTTCACTGGGAACTCGGTACAGTCAGGTCCGTATGTATTTTAAAAAGTGAGAATTCTCATAATTTTGGCTCTGTACAGCATCACTGTGGATGAGACATAAAACACTCATGATGTGCTTTAAGTGTAACCGTGGGTTTAATGTAAGGGTTCTGTCAAAAACACTGTATGAACTGTGTAGGAATTAGAATAATATAGACCCCTTCCCTTCACCATCATTTTCCATCATTATGGTACAAGTTGTTTTTTGTCTGTGTCCATAGAGCTCCGAGAGGTGACGTCATGCATCATTTACAAATGAAAACTCCACCATACTGGCAGGATTCACCCGCAATAAAAAAAACTAATTTATGACACGTGATAACTGCATCCAAAGGAAGGGTGTTGGATTATTATAAAGGCATCATTTTGTGTATGAGGTGGTGCCAGTGGAAATGAATTCCTACAGCTCTAACGTAGTTAACTCTTCTTAAATCAAAGATATGTTATACTCTAACTCCAGTACATGCGAGTTAATGGCTTTGTAGAGAAAAACTTTCAATAAGTAGTTGGGCTTTCGGTTTTGTTAGTAAAAATAAAAGTAAAAATATTCATTTAGTGCACAATCAATTTTTTTTAAATCTTTTCATTTTACATTGAATTCATTCATTATGTCCCCCATCTCTAAACCCAGGTAAAATATTTAAGTGATACCAAGCCTTAATAAATAATTGGCTTAAATGATCTGTTCACCTAAATTACAAGGTATATTATCTGTCTTCTTTCTAGTGCCATCTCTTTGTGCAAATCATTTGGTTTTATTTGTCCGGGTTTTGAGATCTCTATGAATTTCTGATTCAACCCCAGTATGTTGAAGGTGAAGAGAATTTAGTTTGTAGTGCTGAGAGCGTTGAAATACAGCAAAAAGTAAACGACAAGTTTTATCATCAGACACAGTGCCCCTGTTAGGCGAAATAATCCAGCAATCAAACCGTTTTCCTGACTGTAAACTTTGTGCTCTAACATAACAGACCAGATGTGACGGAGGATGACCTGCGGCTGCTCTTCTCCAATGCTGGAGGAACTGTGAAAGCATTCAAGTTTTTCCAGTACGTAGATCTTAGAAGTTACATATACCCACTGACCAGGACTTGACAAGAGTTTTACTGTTTCAGCTCCATTAAAGGCTCCATCTTGGAACAGTTTGTGATTCTTGCTCATGTTTACCACTGTTCAGTGTCATGCCCCAGAAGTGTTTGTTTACTTTCATACATATCACTGTGCCATGTTTTCAGGGATCGCAAAATGGCTTTAATCCAGATGTCAACAGTGGAGGAGGCTATCCAGGCCTTGATTGACCTTCACAACTACAACATGGGAGGCAACCAGCACCTGAGAGTCTCCTTCTCCAAGTCCACCATTTAAGAATCTGACCCTCAAACACCTGACAGCACCAGGTTTTATTGTCTTGGAGCTGTTCAGGAACCTTTCAGACTGTGTCCGGACATTGGCATGGGGTGGGGTGGGGTGGGGGTGGGGGACCACATAGATTGAATAAGTTTTGTTGTCATTCCTTGAGTGAGTCTGAAACCATTTGACTTGCATACTTTTTAAGTGAACAATTGAGTTGTGAATTGTACTGGAGATACTGGATCCTTCCAGCTTTTAACTGTACCTCTATATTTTTTTTTCCTTGTCAAAATGTTGACATGATTGTTGATAGCTTGGTGTAGATTAGTGGTCAGTTCTTGATTTAGTTAAAGAGATGCAGTACCTTTGTGCCTTACTTGACAATAAGAAACTGTTTGTACAGATGGACATGTTTATTATTACCTTCCTATGCTTTTGAGGCGCACTGGTATTGATTTTTGGGGGGTGGTTAGTGGTATTGCAGGCTACTCCGTACTAAGTGTTTTTGAAGCTCTGGCACCAACTATGCGTTGCTGTTATTTTCCAGTTTTTACATTTTTTTTGTATTATGTTTTATTTTCCAGTTTAGCAGCAGGAGAGAAAAATATTCCTGAGGCAACAAAAAAGGCTTTTTACAGCAGTTTGTGAAAGGCAGTTTAACTTCCATTACTCTACAGGTACAGTATGTTCACTATAAAATTGTTCCCTCCCAGGTTTGACTTTACACTCCATGTTTAAGATAAACACATCATAACATGGCTAAGTATTTCTTTATCTTTGTTTTTGAAACCTTATAAAGTATAGTGACAATAGTTTTCTAAGCATGTATAGTAACAGTAGGATCTCACAACAAAGTGTTGCATGCTGTGGAAGCAGACAGAAGATGTCCACTGTGATCTCATTGCCATGTGACAGTTTACTCAAGAGGGCTACTCAGTTGGACCAAAGTCTCTGTGCCTTTTAGTGTTTCTTGAATTCATTTAACAATAAAAAAAGCATTTGAAAACACTGAAATGTTACATTTCAGAGGAGAATTCCCACAATTTTAAGTGTTTAAATATTTCCCTCTTATTTGATACAAGACATCTTGCTCTTTGAGGTGTTTGCTCAGAAATAAGAGTTGTGTATATTTTTTCTGATCTGATTTTATACAACTGAAAATGTAAGGATTTGGTATTGTTCTGGGGAAGCACATTTAAAGGATGAAATATTTTTTTCTTCTTTATTCTTACAAGGAGAGGTACTTGGTTTCCTGCTGTTTGAGTTTTCCCTTTGTCTCTCTTGCGTACCCTGCATTACCTCTGTAGCATGCCCAATAAATCTCTTCTGTAGCTCTGCATTCCCCTCTCTCTTCTTCTCTGTTGTGTCTGCTCCGCTCACTTCTATAACCATCTCAGTCCCATGGTGGGACGGAAGCCAAAATCCTTGGAATCCCTTGAATACAAGCTGTAGTGAGCCACATTGAGCCCTCTGATGGTACTAATTGATAGGACAGGAAGTACAGTTTCTTGAAGCCTTTCCCACCTAATCAACTGATGTTTTCTCTCTGGCTTGCTCTCCTGTCCTCTGGTAGTTGCCTGTTTTATAATGGTTCTCTCCCAACAATCTGATCTGTTTACATGCTGTCACACCTTATTAAATTACATAAATGCCTCAGTTGTTTTTCTGAGCTTACAGAAAATTACTCTAATGCCAGATTTGGAGTATCTGAGTAACACTGTTACAGGCATGAGCATAGATAATAGGATCTGATGAGCGATTTAAAGTCTCATTGTACTGTTGGAGAATGCTATTGCACATCACAATGGGATACTTTTCAAAGCCTCAGATGTTTTGGACATAGCAGCTTTGGTTTGTGAAGAAACAACTACTCTAGAAGAATGACATACACTATATTGCCCAAAGTATTGACTCACCCATCCAAATCTTTGAATTCAGGTGTTCCAATCACTTCCATGGTTACAGGTGTATATATTCAAGCACCTAGGCATGCAGACCACTTACACAAACATTTGTGAAAGAATGGGTCGCTCTCAGGAGTTCGGTGAACTCCAGCGTGGTACCGTGATAGAATGCCACCTGTGCAATAAGTCTAGTTGTGTAATTTCCTCGCTACTAAATATTTGACAGTCAGCTGTTGGTGGTATTATAACAAAGTGGAAGCGATTGGGAACAACAGAAACTCAGCCACGAAGTGGTAGGCCACGTAAAATCACAGAGTGGTGTCAGCGGATGCTGACCGCATAGTGCACAGATGTCGCCAAACTTTCTGCAGAGTCAATAGCTACAGGTGTCCAAACTTCATGTAGCCTTCAGATTAGCTCAAGAACAGTGCGTAGAGAGCTTCATGGAATTGGGTTCCCTGGTTGAGTAGCTGCATCCAAGCCTTACATCACCAAGTGCAATGCAAAGCGTCGGATGCAGTGGTGTCAAGCACACTGCCAGTGCACTCTAGAGCAGTGGAGATGTGTTCTCTGGAGTGACGAATCATACTTCTCTGTCTGGCAATCCCATTGACAAGTCTGTGTTTGGCGATTGCCAGGAGAACGGTATTTGTCTGACTGCATTGTGCCAGGTGTACAGTTTGGTGGAGGGGGGATTATGATGTGGGGTTGTTTCTCAGGAGCTGGGCTTGGCCCCTTACTTCCAGTGAAAGGAACTCTTAATGCCTCAGCATACCACGACATTTTAGACAATTTCATGCTCCCAACTTTGTGGGAACAGTTTGGGGATGGCCCCTTCCTGTTCCAACATGACTGTGCACCAGTGCACAAAGCAAGGTCCATAAAGACATGGATGAGTGAGTTTGGTGTGGAAGAACTTGCCTGTCCTACACAGAGTCCTGACCTCAACACAATAGAAAACCTTTGGGATGAATTAGAGTGGAGACTGCGATCCAGGCCTTCTCATCCAACATCAGTGTCTGACCTCACAAATACGCTTCTGGAAGAATGGTCAAAAAGTCCCATTAACACACTCCTAAACCTTGTGGACAGCCTTCCCAGAAGAGTTGAAGCTGTTGTAGCTGCAAAGGGTGGACCAACATCATATTAAGCCCTATGGATTAATAATCGGTTGTTGCTCAAGTTCATGTGCATGTGAAGGCAGGCGAGCAAATACATTTGGCAATATAGTGTATGTTTATTTGAATCAAAGGATAACACCAGTTTGTTTTTAACGCCTCTTGTAACTGGTATTGATGATAAAGCTATACTGTGATCAGTGTACTTGATAAGACTAGGAGACTACTTTAAAACTGCAACCAGTATTAACTTAGTCAGTTGTAATATGTATGAGTCACTTGTAGAAACCCACAGACAGATGTCACCACTGTTGCAGTTTACTTCAGCTTTACAAATGTTTTTCTCAGGAACTGATCGAAACTTAACCAGAGCTAAAATAGAGTGAATGTCGCACTTAAAATTCATCAGGATGCAAACACAGCTCCAAATGAATGCTAATGGAGTTCTGTCTGCAGGATATGTAAATAGCCAAATATTTGCAACCACATTAGCAATATCAACATTATAAGGTGATAGTTTGTCAGTGTTTACAGCTTGTTGCACTATCCAAATCTCCCCAAAAGAAGAAACAAGTGAACTACAGTGGTTTTATGCATATGAGTTTGTTTCCAGGTGTTGGGAGGTTGTGGGTCAGATGTGAAATTGGATAAATGTCCTGGAGTGATGGCACTTGAGCCAGCACTGGTTGGGTCTGAAGACTACAAATTGGTGTGGAGTTAAAAATAAGTGGACTTACCAGACCTCTGTAGGCTGCATTTAATCTCTGTTCATGGCAAGAGGCCCCAGGCTACATTACCAGTGCAGTAGGTTTACAGTATGTTATAATTACCAGTTTTAATTATTTCAGTGCCATTTCTGAGAAGTCGCATTTTGTGTGTCAGTTTGACATGGTGGGTGGCTCTTAGCTATTATAGTACCACCAATACTACACTGTCCACCAGTGATACCACAGAAAAGAAGCCAGCCAATCACAACAGAATATTAAAAGCTCCTTTTTAAAGCTCTGTGACTGGATGTTTCTTACTCAAAATCCCCTTGGGACTTGAAGCAAATGTCTCATTTTACATTTAATGTCCACAAGCTTGGACCTTTGATTTTTAGTAAAAGAAGTAGATATTTTTGACACAGTTAAATCTTTTGTTTAGGATTTAACAAGGAGACTTTCATGTCCATCTAAGCCAAGACGGATATCACCACCAAACCTTGTCCATCAAGCCAAAGAACCTATGGCTGCTGTTCTTATGTAGTGAAATACTAAATTCCAGTGAAATTATATTTTGAAGCCTAACATTTCTGGTGCTAACTGCTATTACTATTATTTTGTTTAAAGGTCAAAACTTATCTGAACTTTAAGAAACCGTTCCTCTTTTTTCTGACCATTTTGATTTATACTCCTGTAACAGCTCTGCCTGATTTTAAATAAAATCCAGAACTATGAACTAAGTGACTACTACTTCATACAAATAAATACAAGTTTGGTAACTGGCCTTGATCACAGAGCACAATAGTTCAAAGTTCCAGTAAAAAGCTGTAAGAATCTCACTGATGGTTAAAGGAAGCGACTAATTTCAGTTATTTTGTCTAAAGGGTGTGCTACCTAATATCAAGTTGAGGTGTCAATAATCCTGTCGAGTCCATTGTCAGCATAGCTTACAGAGCCACTGCTTCTACAGACATAAATGGACACTCAGCCTATCAGTAAAGACCAATCAGGGCAGAGCAAGCCAAGAACACAAGGTGTTTCACATGAACTCATTAGCCACTAAGGTCTGATCTCACAACCTGCACGAAGAGTAGAATATCAATCAAGCTGTAGATCCACTGTGCACTCATACAGTATATGCATATAAGAAGTATACCTAGACAATAGATCTAAGAAAACAGAAGAAAAATCACAATAACAGTCATCAAAAAGACAACAGTAAACTGTTACAAAAAACACAAGGGTAATTCCTATTCAAGAACTTCTGGATGTAGTGTTCTGATGTAAAATATCCATTTAGATTCTGCTCTAAGTAGTTTTTAATCAGTTACCACCTCTGTGTGGTTTTTCAGTCTGTTATATGGCACAGAATGGCAGTGTTGAACTGAATGGCCAGCTTCTTTGAAATGCCTGGAAAAAGATGATCAGATATAGAATTACTGGGCCTGTAAGCTGTGTTGACAATGGTCCTTTGACTGAGACGTTTACATTTTTATTAAATTTTTTCACTTTATCACTTCTCACATATGTAATAAATTCATTTTTTGGCATTTTAAGGGCCTCTTTCTTTTATGTGCACTCAAGCCTTGCAGACCCTAAAGTAGAAGAACTGCATATTACTAATCACTGATAGAGGAAAATATGAACAACCCCAGGTTTCTTTTCAGCACTGTACCCAGGCTGACCAAGAGCCACAGTGCTGTTGAGCTTAACATTCCCTTAGAGCTCATCAGTAATGACTTAATGAGCTTCTTTATAAATAAAATCACAACTAGTAGAGAAAGAAATTAATCAGATCCTTCCCACAGCTGTCACGGATGCCTCATCAAGAACAACAGCTTTAGAAACATCTGTAAGACCACATATATATTTAAACTGCTTCTCTCCCATAGATCTCACTGAGCTAACCTCAACAATTGCTTCATCTAAAGCATCAACATGTTTCTTACAGTAGACCCCATCCCAACCAGGCTGCTCAGGCGTTTTACTCCTATTCAACACGTCTCTATTAGATCTGATCAACCTCTTTCTATTAACAGGTTATGTTCCACAGGCTTTTAAGGTTGCTGTAATGAAACCTCTACTCAAAAAGCCTACTCTTGACCCAGGTGTCCTAGCTAATCATAGACCAATATCTAATCTCCCCTTTAATTCTAAAATTCTTGAAAAAGCTGCTGCAAAGCAGTTATGTGACCACCTGCACAGGAATGATGTTTAAGGATTTTCACTCAGGATTTAGAGTCCATCATAGTACAGAAACTGCACTGGTGAAAGTCACCAACGATCTTCTCCTAGCCTCAGATAAAGGACTTGTCTCCATACTTGTCCTCTTAGATCTCAGTGCTGCTTTTGACACCATTGATCACAGCATTTTACTACAGAGACTTGAACATGTTATTGGGATTGAAGGAACTGCACTAAGTTGGTTCAAATCTTACCTATCAGAAAGATTTCAATTTGTTCATGTTAATGATGAATCTTCCACACAAACTGAAGTTAGTCACGACATTCCACAGGGCTCTGTTAGGTCCAATTCTCTTCACTTTATACAGTACATGCTCCCTTTAGGCAATATTATCCGGAAGCACCTCATAGAGCCTTATCATCCCAACA